CTCGAAATCGTCCGGTTCCTTTTACCTTCCCCTTGTCACAAAGGGGGCCCGCCGCCCACCTTTCTGAGAACCCCCCCACCTGCATTAAAAGAATCAAGGCCCTTTGATCATTTCCAGAGGCAAGGATACTGTTTTTTGGTCAATAGTGGCTTAAACATGTTTAAACCTATCTCAACGATTGAGGGTTAGCGGAAACCATTTGCTGGCCATGGCGATCCCCTTTTTGGAGCGTGATTTGAGGTGGGAATGGCCACACAGAACCAGGAGGGACTCACCAAGTTTCCCCATGTTTTGTTGGGGGAGCAACTAATTTGGATTGTGGCTGATTTGCCAAAGTCTGAATGCTACAATGCTTCGATAGGTCTCGGCTCGGAGCACTTTTTCAAGCAGATTATTTCTTGCACTTAGCCAAGTCCAGACATGTTGACTCGGCGAAGCCGTGCAAGTCGTGCCTAGGCCACCCTTCGCGTGCAAACGACTAGCTGCTCACAAAACGCTCTGCTGCTTTCGGGTGTATGCAAAAATAAGGGACCCTTCTTTGGGTTGACTTTTCTGAAGGGAGGCCAAAGAGGCACTCAACGTCCTAGGGGTGCCTTGTTTCGGATATATCCATTTGGGCTACATGCCATTTCAATTGGAATCACCCTTTTTCCAACAACGAACACTTTTCAAGGGCCTTTTCAAGACTGTCTTCCCAAACCCTCCGATTGTCAGCCTCCATGTTTGGAAAGAGACAGACGTGTCCTTTTTTCCGTTTTGGGGCTGGCTGTGTGTGTGTGTGTGCCGCCTGTTGCGAGTTTGGCAACGGAGGGCAAACCCGAAACTCCAAGCCGAAGCCAAGCGATGGGCCCAGCGATGGTCTCGGCAGGGCCTCTTTGCTGCGGTGGCGTCCCATTCCCGGGGCTGTTTGGCGGAGTTTGAAAACTTCGATCTCTCGCAGCTGCTGTGGTCCTTCGCCAAGGTCTGGTGGAGGGACGAGGACTTGGCGAGATTCTTCGGGCTTTGATACGGGGGGGAAAGAAGAGGCCGGGGGGGGGGGGGAGGTGGCGTTTGATGTGTGAAAGTCGTTCTTTTCCTTCAGGCCGCCATTTTGGGACGGGATCAGAAAGTAGTTCCATGTCTGTGAGTGAAGGGTCCGGTGCTCCCTTTCAGAGTGATAGCAGTCATGGGCATAGGTGTCCTTTTTTTGGTTGTTTTGGTAGAAAGATAGATGGCCCTAGTTTACCTGGTGGTTTAATCATCTACCAGGGTCATCTATTCGCCCTAAAAGGACACCTATGGTCATGGGAGTCCCACATTTTTCCGTTCAGATTGCGAGGAGCTTTTGAAAGAGGCCGCCCACGACATGCTCTGTGGGCGGAAGAAGCGCCTGGAGAAGATGCGCCTTGGGAAAAGGTCGGTTTGGAGGGACGAGAAGGAGGGACTCCACAGAAAGCCAGAAGAACTCGCCGAATTTCTATCTTGTCCCCTTGGAAAAAGTCATTTTGACCGTTCGATTCAGGCTCTGCTGTAAAGTCGCACAGCAGCAAGAGAGGGTTGAAAGCATGAGTTGCATGCTGGCTGAAGTTAGATTTCGTTACAATCACTATCGGTGCGATCGATGGCGAGGACGGACGTTCGTGCAAAAAAAATTCCCCTAAGTTGCCGGGGAATGACCGTTCCGGGTGTTGGGAATGAATCTCAACCTTCCCTGGCTGGAAGCCGAATCGTTTTTTTTTCTTTCTTTTCTTGACATCGTTGTTGTTGGTAAACATTTTACACTGTAGTGGGCAATCCAAATCCACTTAACTGCTGTTTTTTTTGGTGCTGCCCCTTTCCAGCGTCAACAAAGTTGATGATCATTTTCCATTTTTCTCGTTCCTCGCACCGTGCTTCAGGTGCGCCCAAGACCTGGGCTGCGTGCTGTGGGCCTTCGCTATGCTCCGGTGGCCGGACGGCGCTCTCTTCGAGGCGCTGGCGGCGGCGGCGCGGCGGCACCTGGCCACGCTGAAGCCGCTGGACGTGGGCAACGTGGCCTGGGCGCTCGCGGTGTCCAAGCAGCCGCCCGGCCGAAAGCCGAAACGAACGAGGAGCGCGAGGAGCGCGAGCAGCGCCCTCAGCGCCCGTCGGGGCGGCATTGGTGGGGACGGTCACGGCGCTTTTTGTGGGTGTGGTTGTGGTTGCCTTGTTGTTTTTGTTGTTTGTTGGTCAGTTTCCTTTTTGGCGTTCAGGTTCGTCATTGTCACAAGTTACTCTTTTTAGGGGTTGTTTCTGTTGCTGGTGCTCAATGTGGGAATGAACCCAGGGATTCCTTGAAGGAAACCACAAGGGATGGCTTATACGGGTCATTTCCTCATTCCCTGCTGAGCACCCGCAAGTTCTTCAGGACTCTCAAGGATCGGGGAAGCGAAACATGGCCGCTTCAAGGATGGACACCGCGACGGCCCGGCTCATTGCGGACCATGCGCTTTCAGCTGGCTTCAACACTGCTGATGGCTGGGTTCACGTGCTCTCCGGCGGCTTGGAGGCAACTTGTAACCCGGGCGACTGCTGGCAGGCCCGCAAGAATCACGGGGTCCGGGGTCTGATATGCGGCGCGCTCACGGGCCAGCCCGAAGCGCCGAGCCACAAGGGTTGAAGGGACGGCGGACGGCTGGTGCGGAAGGCCGCCTTCTTGGGTTTGTTTTTGGTTTGTTGGTTGGTTGGTTGGTCGCAATCTTTGGCTGGTTGGTTGGTTGGTTGGTTGGTTGGTTGGTGGCCTTCTCTGGTTGGTCGGTGGCCTTCTCTGGTTGGTCGGTGGCCTTGTCTGGTTGGTTGCTTAGTTTACCGGGAAAGTGGAGATGTTTCCGGCTTCCTTCCCGAGGCTTGGAGGCGCCATTGCGAGGGGACCCTCGCTGGGCGCAGCTGGAGGCCCGCTTCGAGGCGATGATCTTCGGGCCTTTGTGCCGCTTGGACGTCCACCGGCGCCACGTTTGGGGGGACCGGGGGCCGTGTGGGACCTCACACTTGCTCTTGCAAGTTTGAGGCATCCTTTATCCTTTTTGGTTTGGTTTAAAACTGGAAGGCCCGGGTTTTGCCTGTGCCATGTATCTTCCAAAAGGACACGTTGCAGGCGCTTGGCTTTTGGGGATTGGGAAAGCCAAAAGTGTCGAGTCCTCTTGCGTCAGGCGAGCGCCTGAAGCGCCTGGCCACCTTGGCGGAAGGGAAGGAGCAGATGGCGACAGCCCGCCAGGAGTTGGCGTTGCTGGAAGCCTGGGCCGCTGAGCCAGAATCGTTGGGGCGTGTCTTTTTGTCTAAGACGTCTAACCCCAAAGACCAGGCTCGGTGCTCTTTTTTTGGGGCGTGGCTTTAAAGGGAACCGACGCATGTGGGGGGCTCCCGGGCTTCCCAAACGCCTGGACGTACATTCACGTGTCCAAAGGGAGTTCGTGATTTTGCAGGAAACAGCCATTTCAAGTCGATTTTGGCGCCTTTTTGCAGGTGTCCCACGGGTCAATCAATCAGCTGCGCGGCAATGATCCCCCTTTGGAGGAACTTCTGCGTTGGAGACCAACCGTTGGCGTTGGGGATCACTTGCGGGCCAACAGTTACGACGCTGGAACTGAGGTCGGGGACCAACAGTTGGAGCACCTGGGCCCGGACTACACGCAGCGCCTGGCCCGCTGCTGCGGGCTCTGGTCCGACTCTCAGGGCGCCTGGGAAGCGGCGCGCGGGGCGTTTGCGGCGGCGGAGCCGGAGGGCAAACGCGTGGGCCTGCACCAGTCGAAGGCAGGCGCCAAACCCCTGGGTTTGGTGTGGGCATATGGCGGGTGTGGCTCAAAATCAAGCAGGGGTTGCGTAGGTTTTGGTCCATGTTTCCACTTACCAGGGTTCCATTGTGGTACCTTGTGGTACCGGGTTTTTTTGAGCCACAGCCATATGGTGCAGAGACTTGAAAGTGCGTGGCTGTCCAAAAAAGCGCGTCTTCAGTGTGTTGGGAGACCAACCGTTGGCAGGTGGTGGCGTGGCTGGCATACTCCCTTCGCTTGGAGGGGGATGGGCCAGAGGTGGCTACAACATCAGAGTCTGGCCAGCTCATCACCTACGGTCGGGCAGAGCGCGAGTTCTGTCCTCATTGGCAGGCCAATGTTGACGCGTCGAGGGTTGTCTCGGGCGTGCTAAGGGTAGCATACGGCAGTTGCTTGAGCTCTCTGGAGAAAGTAGAAATGTGTCCAATAGTGATAGATTCCCTTTGAAGCCAACATGGTGAAATAAAAGAAATACACCAGCATAGCCCCGGATAGCGACACACCAGCACCTCTGACAGCAGCCCCCCGAAGAGCACCTCAAACAACACCTCCAAACAGCCCGGAATCCCAAAACAGCGCTGCACAAGAATCCCCAAACTGCATGCCCCCATAGCATCCTGCCATCAATCTTGCAAAAGCATCACCCCGAACAGCACCCCAAAAAGGCACACTCAGAGCACCGGATCACCAGCGCAACAAGCACCCCAAACTTGGCTCCCCAAACAGCACCTCAACCGGCACCTCAAACTGCGCGGCCCCCAGCGCCCAGCCGTCAATCTCGCAAATCGCTTTCCCCTTTGCATTAGAAGTGAGAACCCCTATAGCTTGTAGCTATCTGGGGGAAAAACTATTCTTAAGCAAATGCCAGCTGATCCTCAATTGTTCAGTGGCACCCTTTTCCCTTCTTTTTTAAATGTAGTGGCTGCCCCACAAAAAATGGTCTTCCCCAAAAAATGGTTCCCTTTTTTTGGGCAGGGTCACTGAACAACTGAGGATCCGGCTCACAGCTTGCTTGCTTGCCTGACGCCAGGCGGCGGAGAGGCTTTTGCTCCCTTTGTCCACGACGTCGCACAGCCGTGGTGGCCACGCGGAGCGCGTTGCCATGCTCCAGGCGCGAGCCTTCAGTCACTGCGGCGTTTGGCAAAATCAGCAGGGCCTGCCTGTATGGGTCAAAATAAAGCCACCAGGGGACTGCAGGTACCAGGGTTCCATTTGGGGTACCTATTTTTGACCCACAGCCATTTAGCTATTCGAGCCACAAAAAGGGAAGGTCGAGTGCTGCCTGAAAGCCTTGACCTGTGCCTTGGGCAATTGTGGCGCCACGCACGTGGGGCGGGGTTCGATAGAGGGAGACCCTCTAATCCTCTAACCACCCGCTAAGCAACAGGAAAATGCCAAGGAACCGCTAGCCACGTACCCAACCATTAATGTTCACCTCGCATTCCAGAAGTACTCTCACAAACAACCCGGTAACAACCCGTAGATCCTGACCCTGCGGAAAGAAGACCGAAGTTAGCATTGACCCAGAGAGAGCCTTGGTTTCTATTTGGGTACATGTGCTCAAAATAGAGGGAACCCCTCTTTACGGTGGCTTCCCTTTGAGTTCCCTTTTAACCCACCCCAAAAAAAGAGTACCCTCCAACTGGAACCTGACATTCGCTCAGGTGGGTGTGGGTCAGAATTAAACCACCAGGAATTGGACCACAGGTTTTAGTCCTTGGTTCCATTTACCAGGGTTCTATTTTGGGTACCCTTTTTTGACCCACAGCCAGGTGTTCTCTGCGGCGTTGAAGTGTGCCGAGCAGCTGCGGACCGGTGGCTCCTTGCTTACACGAATTCCACTGTGGGGGCGGGTTCGAGCAAAACGAGGGCCCTTCTTTGTGCCCTAGTCTAAATTTAATGTTGTCCGGACTTACTCTACCCTCAGATTCCCAGTGCTTAGTTTTGTATTACCAAATCTAAACTTACTTTAGATTCCCAGTGCTTAGTTTGGTATTACCTGATTTGACTGACATTAAAGTGAAGAAGACCCCCCAAACGATCATATCAAACAGGATCGCTGGCTCCTGTGGGCACCCCTTTGTGTGACTGCTTTGTTGTTTTTGTTTTCGGTTTTCTTTTTTCTCCTTGTTTTTCTCCTTTTTTTCTCCTTTTTTTTTTTTTGGGGGGGGGGCCGCTTGCAAAAGCGATTTTCTTAGGAGTAAGAGCTTGAGCCTCCTAGCTGGGAAGAGCTTGGTTAGGTGAACCACCCTTTGAAAGTAAAAGGCTAAGGCTTGAATTTGAGAGTTGCAGCAACCCCCTCAAAAAGTTAGGACATGAAAGCGACCCCCAAAACAGTCACATTACACAGAATCAGGGCAACCCCTTTGTGTGACTTGTCGCCCTTCTGGATGGAAAAGAAATCACTTTGAATTTGGTTTGGGGACCGCATGAAACAAGAAAACACACATTCCTGAATTTGCCCGGATTTGTTTGCCAGGGCTTCCTTTTGCCCGACTTTTTGGGCCGTTGTTTGGCCCGGATGTTTTTTTCGGCAAAGCAACCTGACATAAAAGATGACCCCCCAAAAGTGGGGCCCGTGTTTAAGCTGAGGAAACTTGACGTAATCCAGGGTGCCGCTATGAAACAAGGTGCAACATTATCCTTCTGTTTTTTTTTCCTTTCCTCTATCTAAGCCTCAAAAAAAGGCGCCGCCCATGTTTCACCTAAAAGGAAGCAACCAATCCAAACCACCAATTGGAGGGAAGCTGAGGATTAACATGTGGCCATGGGTTGAACTTCAACCCTTTGACTGAGACGACTTGGAGCTGCTGGGGGAGATCCGGCTCTTCGTCTCCCACTGGCCCTGCGTCTCCTGCCTCACGGTGCTGTGTCAGGTCCGAGCGCTCGCTCCCCAGGCGCCTCAGCATGGGGAGGCGCGCCGTCCAGTTCCGATTTGGTTTCCTTGATTCGGGAATCCCGAAAGGGGTCATTCCCAAGAAACGGACTCGGTCCTTGCCTGTGGTGCTCTTGGGGGATGCGCTGCAGGCCTGAGGATAGTGCAGGGAAACTTGCCCACTGAGCACCAGCAAGACTACTGGAAACCCCAGAAATTTGTTTTGGGTGGGAGGAAAGATCCCCCTATGGGAGTCAAAGGGGGTCACTTGTGGATGATGCTCTGCCTTTCAAATTGCCAGGAATGACCATCAAGTGGCTTTGGGATGGAGATTCCGTTCGCCCTGCTCCCATTTGCGCAAAAAAAATCCCTGGAAATCGGCTTCCAAAGACCTTCCACGTTTGCTGGGACTGGGCTTCAATGATTGGAACACCTTCGGCTGGGGGAGGCAAATTCCCATTTGGCAGGTTGCCAGGGATCTAGAAGGTGTGTTCCCCCCAGTCATCCAGAGTCGCTCTCAAATTTGTTGCCTCCCCGGCATGTTCACCACTCATATCTTATCAATGGACTGGCTCCCCAGCATACCCAGACATTTCGTGATATGAGGGAAGCATGCGGCAACATGCTGGGAGCAACCTGCCGACCTTGGCTTTGGAGGTTCAGCGTGCGGCTGAGGGGACCCTGTAGCGTGCCCATGCTGAGGTTCAGCTCCACGTCTGCTGGGAGGGCTACACAGCGCACACAGAGCCTCACGCGCCCACCAGTTCAGATGCATGGACGGCCGGCAAAAAGAGACGCGGAGAGCGGGGTAGAGGGGAGGGGGGGTGAGGGTGGGATTGCCAATGGGTCGCAGGCAGGTGTGACTTCAAACCAACGCTGTTGGTTTGCGACAGTGCTTCTGACGTGTGCTGGGCGGGTTGTGCTATTTCCCCTTTTTGGATGTCCAACAGTGGCACGTTTTTTTCTTGCGGGGACATCTAGTGACCCCTGACTGGGGAGCCTGATGCCGTCTCAGAGGCTACGCTCGACCATCGAGATCGTGCCAGCTGTGCAAAGGCATACAAGCACCTAAGGCAAAGCGTTGAGGCGGGGCGCGGATCGGCGCGGGGGGTTTAGCAAGTGAACCAACCGAACACCTCCCTGGTTAAACTACAGTAATAATTAGACTAGGGGTTTTCCCTTGTTCCCTTGCAATATTCAGGACCTCAGCCTTGCACGACTTCAAAATGCCAAGCGCATCGGCAGCTTTATGATGTCCGGGAATTAGCAGTTTAGTCTGTAGCAATGGTCATGGATTCCTCCAGCTGGATGGTACATTACAGACATGCATCAGTTGTACAAAGCAGCAGTTGAGAATCCTATCTCTGAGTCAAAAGTCAAAAGATAAGGCAAACTTCTATTCATCGTTCAACCTTTTGATGTCTTCCTGAAAAGACCCACAACTTCATCCTCGGTGGGGTCCTCGACTCGTGCAGGACGGCATCCAGTACCTCTTGCACGCGAGGAAGGAGGACCCCTTCGAGGAGATGGCAGCGCGGTATGCCCTGGAGCAGGCGACCGCAAACCGCACCGGGGGCCCGGGGGGCTTCTGCGGTTTCAAGTGGGTTGAGCTGAGTTTGTGCGTGGGCATGGCGAGCGCTGTCGAACCGTTGAATGGGGAGGTTGGGCCATCTATATAGTTGCTTTCAGGCAGCTACTCTTTTTCTTGACTATTGGAGGGGGGGGGGTTGGCGGGTTTGCGTTGTGTTGAGGCTCGGCATCCTTTTCAGGCAAAGGGAAGCCGAAGCCAAACCTCACCATTCCAGGCATACCTCTATTGCAACACGCGCCTTTTGCTGATACTTTTGTTGCAATGGTGGATGCCTTGGGCCTCTCCGCTTGTGGAATGACAAGCTCGCTCCCCCAACAGCTTGTGTCATCAGGGGGCTGGGGAGGGAGGCCTTTGGTCTTGCGCCACGCGTCAGGCCACGGGCGTGTCCGCGCCCAGCTTCAGCCTGAGCAAGCAGGATTCCTGACCGGATGCCGGCGAGGCAAGAAATCAAGCAACACCTGCTGATCTTCGTTTCCCGGGCCAGCGCCCAAAGTGGCGTTGGCTGGACGGCTGGAGCAGCACGAAGCTGCTTTTCTTGCGGGCGATGAAGGCGCTTTCTCTTCAACTCGCAGATCCATATCTTGCTGGTGCAATGGGTGGGCCAGATGTGGGAATCGCCACGGAAACTCCGTAAAGGAAACCACCAGTTGGATGGTTTGTGCTGGGGTGATTCCATCCAACTCATTCCCTGCATCTCTCGCATGGATCGCAAGATACGCCTGGTGCGATCTCGCCATTTTTTCTCCTTGAGCAGCGCGGACCCAATCCCTGGCCAGAAAAAGGCAGGATCTGCCCTTGGGGGGGGGGGTCCTTGCAGCAAGGCCAAAATCAATCTCGGAGCTTTCTGGCCATGTAGCAATGTGCCAATGTAGGTAGGTGGGACCTGGGTTGCGCTCACTTCGGTTGCAGGAGCTGACGGTTTCATACAGAGGGGACAGCTGGTGCCTGCGCTATGCTCTGCTAATAGCAGGGAACAGCGCGGCCAGCTATCTTCCAGCGATTCCCTCGTCGAAGTTGCGTGGCCACGAATACCAAACAGTGACGCGCTGCAAGTCGACGGAGGTTGCTGGCCCAAAGTTTCGACCATATCTCAGGGTTGGAAGCTGTTTTGTTTTTTTTGGCACGCCCAAGCCGCTTTCAGTCGCCACCTTTCCAGTGTTGGAGTGTGGATCAAGTCAGACATATCGAGCCTCGCCCAGATGGATTCGACAGCGAAGCGATTCGCTCGGCCTGGGGCCTTAGAACGCAGGGACTTTTGGGCCCAAGCCCAAGGGACGGTCCCAAGCAGACTCCGCCGGCTTGATTCGTCACTTTGGGGTCTGCGAGTTTTGGAGATGACCCAAAAGGGCTCACAATGGATCAAGCGGATCAAGCGCCAATGGAAGAACAGTGGGTGTCACACAGCCCTGGGTGACAGGCGTCCCTCACGACCCTTTGTGCGGCAAAAAGGATTCGCGCACGAGCACGCGCGAGGCACGTTTGGGAGATGGCAGGGCCGCGGTGGTGGCAACTCGGCAGGTCAAAGAAGTGAGGTGGGAGTAGGGGATGTGGGAGTTGTTTGTTTTTGAGTGCCAGTTGCTGGCTGGACGATTTACCTGTATTTGTTTTTGTTGGGCTTCGTAGTCCCTGCTACCCCCGCAAGTTTGTTTTACCCGAAGGAGGGGGAGTAGGGCTGCCGGCCAGTTTCTGTCGGCAGCCCCACATGGATAAGTGATTTGTCAGGGATTGAACCCCTTTTCAAACCAAATGGGGAAGGTAGCCGACGTCCAAACCACCTTGCTTTTGCTGGACCGTGGCTTTTTGGATTTGTGGTTCGTGAAGCTTGAGAAAGTCTCTTTGGGCCCCCTTCACCAATTTTCAGTGCCTTCTAAGTGCCCTTTGTCTCTCCTTGTCTTTTGCCGGGGCAGCTTCCCTGCAATTGGTGGTTCGGATGGGTGGTTTCGTGGTCAAGGGATGAAATCTTTCCATTTGCCCTCTACAAGAACCAGGGGTTCAAGTCCACCAACCACCAGTCCAAACCTGACACTCCAAGCTGGGGGCCGGGCTCGTGCGGTCCCGAAAGCGCTTTCAGGTTGAGCAAAACTTGGTGAGCCAGCAGCTGCCCTAGAGCTGGCAGGGGGAAACACCCGGCTCGGCTGGATCTCTACGCTTTAGGCTTTTGCTTTTTCGGAAATGATGGTTTCTGCAATCAGCAAAGAATAGTTACAGCCATTTGCTTAAGACTTTTTTTGGTTTTCCCAAGTTTGTTTTTCAAAGGGAATCTATGACTATTGGAATTAGGTTTACCTTTCCAGGGGGCTTAAGCCTTAAGCAAATGGAGGATTAGTCAAACCGTTTTATTTTTTTGGGGGGGGGTTCTGGGACATCCAAACACAGATCTCTTGTAGCGGCCCATTGCGCTCCCTTCCCAGAGGAGAACGGAGCTTCCGGAGCTGCCCCGTAGGGGCTGATGTGTATTCATGTAGAATTCCTCACTGACAGGGGGAGCACCCCCTGACAAGTGACCCCGGTCGACGTCACCATTCTTGCGTCAAAGATGGCGATTTCGGGCGGTCGAAGAATGCGACGGCGCTCCCATGCAGTTTGGCTTTTTCTCTGCGGCTTCCTCTGCAGCTTAAGGTGCCGCAGCAAAAAGGCCGCAGGTGGCTTTCAGTGCCTCTAGGTTTGACATGATTGCCCTTGGCCAGCTAGGCAAATGGAATCACCGGGCCGCCGGCCCCACACAGCAGGGCTCCTTAACAGATACATGTTGCAACGAAACATGGCTTTTTGCACCAAAATAAAGGGAAACCGCCGTTGACAAGGCAATGTTCAGGTGTATAATGTAAGGATCCCTGCACAGGCAAGAGGTGCACGGGCGCTCAGGCTTAGTGCCGAGCAGCTGCAAGCCTTGCCGATGGCCAAGCGGAGGGGTGGATCCATGAAGACGGGTACGGCCCAGCAGTTGGCAGTCCGGTTCCAGAAGTTTGCACCTGGGCTTCATCCGTACTGACTTTGTCCTTGGCTCATTCATGGGAAGGAGAAAACATAGTCTGTCCCGGGGCTAATTAGGGACGAACAACCATGGCACGGGTTCCCACTGCAGGTTCCTAATTAGCCTATATGTCTAACCGGATCTAAATGCAAAATCAAGGTACCATTTTCCAAGGCGAGACCTGTTGAACTCTCCCCCTGCACTTATTGATTCAAGAATGTCCCAACCATAGGGGGGGTTTCTTTTCAACCCTTGAATTTCCATGGCTTTTTCCGTGGTCGTTTCTTTCTTCTTTTTACCGGCTGGCAAGTCCCATGATCTGCGGGGACTTCGTGGGTCCATGGCAGGTTCGCCTTCCAAGTGGGCCAGCTACTCAACACGCGGGCGAAGGCGCCGAGTTTCGGCTGTTGAAGCCGAAGGTGGCGGTTCCGATGGTGGCACCGATCCGGGGGTAGGAGCGAAAGCCAGAAGCAAGGTCCCGCTAGGTGCCCTTTCTCACCAACTTTTTTGGGGGAGGCTGCCCCTACTAAAAAATCGACTGCAGAAAATAGGGTACCCTTAGTCTAACCTCTCCTGGACCTAGTAAAGGTCCTTTACTTGGGGATCCCTGAATTCAGATTTTGGAATTGTTTTCCGGTTGGTTTCCGGAAACTTTCCACCATCTTGCTGAAGAACCCCTAGCTCAACGAATTCGAGTAGACATATAGTTTGCAACTCAAGAGTTGCGCATAGGCTGGGGGGCGTTGGCAAGTGAGCTTTCCTGGTTGAGCCACGAGCAAATAACTTATCAAACTGGCTGCTTAGCTTGTGTTCTAGCCAGGTGGTAGCTAGCAAGCTCGCTGGCTGGCTGGCTGATTAGCAAGCTGCTCGTTCCGAGTCGGCTACTTGAACAGGCCAGTTCGTTGATGAGCTAATCGTTTTGGTTTCTTGGTGGGCTCATTCGTTAGTTCCTCATTAACCAATTCTAAGCTTAAGACAATGCATTACTTAGACAGTTGACTAGCAGGCTGGTTGTCTTAGCCTCATAGTCGTTAGCTGATTGGTTGAGCAGTTTCGTAGTTCTCCAGTTGATCATCAGGTAGTGCAGCAGGCAGCCAGCGAGTTGCTTCTTGAGCGAGTCAACGTTCGAAGTATCGAGCCCCGCGGATGTCCGCAGAAGGCCTGCGAGATGGCCGATCCCTGGCAGTCTGCACATGGTTGCGCAAACGAAATGAGAAAACTCAAGCAATGCATTTTTTCCGCGGTGCACCCCACGAAAACTTGGGGGTTCACCGCTGGAAGGGACCAAGTGCTTGTTTGGAGTTGCGACACTTTGTTCAGTTCTTGGCTGCAACGCGCCAATGTATTCAGGTGGCAGAAATAGGCATGATCTGTTTTCTCGGTTCCAATATGCCTGTCCGTGTGCGGTTCTACTTGCTTCAGCATGTCCATACATCAATCCTTGACCATCAATTGTTCCAATCCTGCACTCGCCTTATACCTATGGATGTGCAAAATCCTGCGCGCTACTGAGACTGGATGAAGCCTTCTGAATGGAACAAACAACCTAGGATTTTGGCCATCCGTCACTCCAAGATTCCCGCAAACAACTGGCTGCTCCAAAAAATCGGGTGCTCTCTCCCCCCCTCTCGTCGTAGAGGAAAAGCGAGACATCCGCAGTTTCCTGCGTCCCGAAGTTTGAGCTGGGTGGTTCCTGCTGCGTCCGTCAGGGTTCCCAAAAAATCCAAAAAAAGGAAAAAAGGAAACCACATGAACAAATCAGCTCCTTGATCCATATCGATCCGAATGTGTTGGCCAAGGGCAGAGTCAGCCGGTATTTGGGGTGCAAAACTGTGGCCCCTGGTATCCTCTGAACTCAGCTGGTTGGGTGAAAAGCCGTGGGCCAGGGCGCAAGGCTCTTCTCCGCGTTGGGCTGCACCTACTTTGGGGGCCAGCTCATTCGCCGCCGGAGCCTCAAGCGGATAGCATGTTTTTTTTTGTTTTTTTTTTTTTTTGGGGGGGGGGGACATTAGAGAGTTGAAAGGGACACGTCCGGTTTTGAGGGCTCCCTGTTAGACACACCCACGTGAACTTTGGTTTGAATGCCCAGAAGTCCTTCCGTTTGGGAGGGGGTATGTGTGATTCCGATTTTCCTCCAAAGCGATCGGAGCCCGGACTTGAACATGAGCTTTGCGGCAACGCCATATACATATATACACATATACATATATACATATATACATATATACATATATACATATATACATATATACATATATACATATATACATATACACGTACACACGTATACACGTATATACATATGACTCATGACAGTATAACCATATATACATATATACATGTGTACATGTATACATGTATGCATATACAAATGTACACTTCAATCTTGGCCCGTTGTCCCAGATCACGACCTTCAGCTTTGTCGCGAATCAAATGACCAGCCCCCCCCCCGGCCTTCCCTTTGGCCAGGAAGAGCGGAGCTGGGGGCAGAGGGAAAGGTGGGCGGGCGAGTCTTCAGATCCGGACACTAGACCTTTTGATCAAGCTCCATTGCTGTTTTCATTGGACATTGCTGTCGTTGGTTGGGTCTGAGGAATATCTGAGAGTCCGCACTGGCATGAAATCACGTTGGTCCTTTTGCATCTGAGAGCCGCCTGCAGCCATCTCAAGGGAAGTGCGGCTGCGCGCACACATGCATCCGCATGTTCAGATGGACACCGGAGGCGTAAATGCCGCGTTGGACATTGACAGTGCTCCCAAGTTACTCACTTCCCCAAAGCTTTGCCTTGAGTCAATCAAACTCCTGCCTTTGCGTTTCTCCAGGCTTTCATCGCGTGTTTTCAGCACATCCTTGATTCTTGATTCCCTCAGGTTCCTGGCGTCGAAACAGCCCTCCACCCACCCTCAACCACTGAAGCCTGGGCTTTTGCGGGCCCCCTCGCCTGCTCCATGCGGTTCCATGCTTTCGCGGAAGTTCAACGGGATATGTTATGGAGCTCCCCCCGAGGGTGCCGAGCTTCAAAATAATTAAGGAGCACATCCGATTTCCCCTTCATTTTTTTTTAGACTTTCGCACGTTTCGGGCGCGTTTTGATCAGCCACTCAGCCACTCGTTTCATGAACTTGAAGGCAGAGCCCTGAATGTCAAGCAAACAGTCCTTTCTCGCCAGTTTGTTTGGGGAAGCGGTCGTTTATATTGCTTAGTGTCTGCTTTTTTGGGAAGCCTTAAGAAACAAGAAACTTTTGCTACGCAGCTGGCTGCGTAGCCGAAAAAGGTGGAAGAGGAAGGCACGGCCCGTCGGCCATGGAGCTCTCGGTGTCAGTGTCGCTGCTCAGCGGCGCCCTGGTGGCGCAGTTCCCGGTGCCGCGGAACGCCACGGCCGCTCGACCGCCCGGCGAGTCGAGCCGAGCGGGCGGCGAAGGAAAGGGTGGCGAGATCCGTTGCGGTCACGGGCCCGGGGGGGGCTGCCCAGCCGTTTTTTAAAGCTTTGTTGACGTCTGTCTTTTTCTTCTTTTTTTTTTTTTGGGGGGGGGGTGGTTATATTTTTTTCTTTCTTGGGGGAAGCAACCTTAAACATGATGTGTACCGAAAAAGAGGCTCGTTTCTTTTCTTGGGGGGACAACAACCTTGAAGATGATTCAAGTCACGGTTCCCCTCAACTGGTGTGGACGAAAGATGGCTTTCGGGGCTGAGGTCTTCGATGTGAAGACGCGGCTACACGAAGCTCTGCTGCGAGGGGATGGCTCTGTGTTTCGGTGCAGAGGCCTCGGCCCAGCCTTTTGGATCCGGAACTTTTGCAGTTTTGCATGTCCCTGGCAAGCACCAAATCCCGGCTGAACGGTCAAAACCAGCGTATCCCCAGACGGCTTCAGCCACCCTGGTGGTACTAGCCAAAAAAGGGAGGCACGCTTATCTTGGGCACAACTGTTTTACACCAGGGAAGTAAACCTTCGTATGCCTCTCTCACTTTGTTCTTTCCGAGGGGAAGGGATCTTCCGATCTTCCTCACTCTCTTTCTTCGGGGAGGCCATGCAAGCTGCCATTGGGCGTCAGCTTCCCCGACGCCCCGAAGCCAAGTCAAGCTTCGAAGCTTCAAATTCAAATGGCTCCAACCAGGTGGCTGAACTTGCTGGTGCGATACGTGGGGAAGCAGGGAGTGAACCCAGGCTTTGGCCCCCTTAAAGGATCGTTCCATCCAACGCATTCCCTGCCTCGGATCGCAAGATATGCAGAGCAGCGCTCTCGCCCTTTTCCCTCAGCGCCTCCTGCCCGGAGCCGATTCCATTTGGCTGTTGGTCAAAACTAATGGTACCATTTTGGGGTAGGTGAATTCACCACCCATTTTAGAACCTAGTTTAGGGGTTGGATTGGGATGTTCATCGGTCTCACCGGCCAGTGAATGGAAGTCCAGTTCACCGAACCTAGGACCAGGACGGCACCTCGGTGCGGAAGCAGCAGCTGGTGCTGGGCTGCGACATCCTGCAAGACACCACTGCCCTTTCAGAGCTGGCGGAGCTCGGCTCCGACCATCTGGCGCCTCGGTGGTAAGAAGCGATGGTTTGGTGTACTTTCACCAGTGCAAAGGGAAACTCACAGGAAGTCAGCCGTTTGAAAAGGCTTGTCGATTTGTTCAGACAAACCCATTTCCAGCTTCTTTCTTTTTTTTGGGGGGGGGGGGGTTGGTCGGTTGGTTGCGTTGGGTTGGGTTTGTTTGGCTTGCTGAGATCAATGGGGGCAAATCTGGATATGTCCAGGCCGTTGTTGGGTGGTTTAACCTTTAAAGCCACCCCAACCGCCTGGACATCGGCCCTTGCCCAACCAAGAGGCTGGAGGCTGGCACCTGTGCAGAGGCACATTAAGAAAGCCTTGTGCTGAGGCCAGGGTAGCAAAAAGCCGGGGCTAGTAACAAAAACACACCTCAGCCTGGAAGGCTCTGAACACTTCAGGCATGGAACTTGCTGTGGATGGCCGAAGGCCATTTGGGTTTGTCTGCCATTCGGGTTCACTCATCCCTGACTGGCACAGGTGGGGGGGGGGGTTCGGATAGTTCTTGGGCTGCGCCTCGACCGATGTCTGGGCCGAATCTGCAGGTTTCTTGGAACTGCCCCAAGCTCCCCGAACCCCGGCGTGCCAGGACCTCCGCTTGGTGCGGAAGGAGGGGGTGAGCTTCGTCTGGCAGGTGCCCGCAGACCGCGGCTGCGTCACCAGCCCGGAGTGGTGCCACTCAGCCGATTGAAGGACCACACCGGGGGGCGAAAGTTGTGGCTTGCATGGTGGCTCGTCTTCTTGGCGGGTACCTGTTTTTGGTTGGGTTGAAATGCTTTCTTTTCTTTTCTCTTTTTTTTGGGGGGGGGGTTGAAAGGGACACCACTGGAACCCCCCCCCCCCCGAAAAATAAAATAAAAAAAATACTAAAAAAAACAAGCACACCCAAATTGCTATTTGGGGGAGAACACGCCATGTTGGGTCCTTCTGCTCCCAGTGCAAAGCAATCCTGACAATCAACAAGCTCGAATCCCATCGTGAACGATCCAGTGCTCAACCGAATGGAGACCAAACCCATCCATGACTAAGCCCAATCAAATCCTGCCGCAGCCATTCTCGTTTCTATTCTTTAGATACAAGTACATACATGAATGCATGAGGGAATACTTATTTAATTGAATACATCGAAAAATACGTTCACATGCGCAAAGAAATGCACAATCAGCTTGAATCATTTTCTCCCAATTTGTTTGATTTCAAACCAAGTTCAGTTCAGATTTCAAAGCCAAAGAAAGCCGCCGCTTCTTGGTCCGTCCGCGCAAACCGTCGGAACCGTCGTCTGAGGCCTGGACCAGAGCGAGGCGGTGTCCACGCGGCGCTGCGCGCTGAGTTTGCGGTTCTACCCCTGCGGCTTTGAGAGCCGCCCGGATCTGGTGGGCTTGTGAACAGGGGTATGTGGTTCCCTTGTTGGGGGCGTCCCGTATATATGTATATATGTATATATATATATATATATTTGTGGATGTGTTGATTTTTTCTTTTTCTCCGTCTTTTGGGTTTTTCTTGAAAACAGCACCAAGAAGGGGTCTCCTCAAAACAAGACGCGCCCAATGTGTGAATGAGCCAACGGGCGCAGAAAGTGATGTGGGTTTGTATCCCATGGACAACAAGGTGGCGTGGACCCCCAAAGAAGTCCCAGGTCGCTTTCCAAGGGCGCGGATGTTACAGAAAGGATTTCAGGAGGGGGGGGGGGGGCCGCCGGGTTTTGAATTGCGTGTGGCGCCAGCATGTGCAGCCCACAATCACGTGTCGAAGAACAGGTCCCGTGCCAAGCATGAGCTGCAAGCCTGATTTTGATAGCGGCACAAGAGGTCGGAATATTTTTTTTGCGTAACACAGCCAGGTGGCCTATCCAAAACGACCAAATCCCATGGGACGCGCCTTGCGGAGGTAAGATGTACAAAGAGGGCAGCTTCAGCATCATGGTGAGGAGGCCTGGTGCCTGGCTTGCAGGCTGGAGGACTTGAAAGCACCTCCTGAAGCAAAAATGCCTGTGGTTCTATTCAAGCTGGCCGGATGTTGTAACCTATTGGACTTTATCGGGGGGTTGAGGAATGCCAAACCTCTCTTTTATATGCCGTTTCGACTTCCAGGTGCCTTGGCTGAGAATCGGGTTTCCCGTCAGGGTGATGCGTTCGATCTTTTGTAGACGCGAGGCCGGGACAATCTGTGCCTCTCTGGCTCCCGGAAATGCAGGTCTTTGGGGCCCCTGTGCCGCACATGCAGCTCCGATCACCCTCTCAAGCCTGCGAAGTTACAGGCTGCCAAATGTCGACAGTTTCGCGCAACCTTGGCACCGGATGCCTTCTATTCAACTCTGTCATTAGAGGGAAAGCTGGAAGGCGCGACAGGCGTGACGCTCCGGTTCGTGGAGGGGACTCTGGTAGATGTATGCAATGGAGGGCGGTTGTCTATTAAGCGAAACATCATCGTGCTGACTTACGTAGATTGTAAACGCACGCGCGCGCACGCACACACATATATATATATATATATATGTGGATATATACACATAAATAAATATAAATATAAATGCACATATATATGTATATACATACATTTGCTACCCCCCCCCCCCCCCAGGTACCCAGGTTTGGGCTTGGTTCAGATGTGCTTTGACCGCGGAAGCAGGCAGGAAGAACAGCTCAGATTTGCACACAGAGACCAGAGGAAGGAGGTTTGCCTCATTGAAGAAAGACGCCTTGGACGTGACCCATGCCCTTTTTCAATGGCTCTTCCACACAAAATTCAATTCACACATCCCATGCCTTCTTTCAAAGGCTCTTTCACAGATAACTCACATATCTTCCCACACAAACCATGCCTTCTTTCAAAGACTCTTCCACAGAAAATTCACACATCCTCTCACCCAACACATGTCTTATTACATGTCTTCTTTCAATGAAACAAAGTCAGCATGTGTGAAAGAGTTGCCAAGGAAAGGGAACCCTG